GGATCCGTGTGCAGCACCATGGTTATACGTTGCGGAGTCGCGGCTCTGAACGGCATTCGCAGTATCGATAGCTTCCGTACAACTGTATAGGTATTTGTTGACTGTATAGAAGACGGTTTCACGTAACGATGGGAACTTCGCCCCTAAATAAAGTAGAGCAGTTGCAAGATTATAAGTAAGGGACTCCCATGGAGACGGTTTGACGTTCTGCAGGAAGGGTGAGGCACGAAAGACCTGGCTGTGAGATTCAGGAAAGTATTGAGAGAGCTGTGCAACCAATCGGGAGGCGTGGTTCAGTTCCTTTACTGAGGAGGAAGCCTTGCAGAGGGAAAAGAGGGTATCTAATTCACGGATACCCTATACAGGTTAGCTTTGTATTCCAATAGTTAGGGGGAATGCACTGATGACGAACCATAGGTACTCGCGATGTCGGAGTCCCATTCTGTAACCCATTAAGCTGTTCATTGCTTTGACGCTGGCACTGTTCTGTTAACCGCGCAATGTCGGAGTCTTCGTCAACGGCCGATGCCTGGACTGCTAAGTTTGCAAGCTTCTCCAATGCGGAGTGCCTGATATTTGTCGAGAAGCTATACTGCTGTCAGCAATGCAAACTATCTGGGATAGACATAGCGATTCCTTACTCGTCCATTGTAGGCAATCATAACCTGCCGTAGAGGACGTTGTTGAGAACTTTTGAATAATGTACCAACGCCGTGATGAGGATTCCTAAGGACGTGGTGGTGGTAATGGCGATGGAGGTTCAGAGCTTCCTTTCCGTGCCCCCTGGAACTAATCGACTCCGCCGGATCCACGTGCACTTGAACTACTATGTATACTTTTATTTGCCGTCGCGACAGCTTGTTCTTGACTATTACGCTTGCTCCCTGCAATTTGATCGAGAATTGACCTTGCGGCGACTGTTGAGTATTCAAAGAGAATTCGGTTTATGAAGGGAATCATCCTTGTATATCCAAAGCCATGACATAACCTTCTAGAAGACTTGTCACTTCCAAAAAGTAAGATCTAATGCCTAAATTGACATTTAACTGGTGTCCTGAGCATAAACATGTCCCAGATCCAAACGCAATAAAGCGCAATTATTCCGGTCACTTTTGCCGGTACTCTGCGCGAAGAATAAGTAACAGGAAGGAATCCGGCACGCGTTGCGGAACTCCATCCTTACTTAATTGGGAAGTATCCGCCCCGACAAGGGCTGACGCAACGGAAAGAGCGAGCTTTCCCCATTTACTTCCTATTCTCATCCTGGGGACTCTTTGCAAACGAGCTGTATAGCTCTTCATGTTTCAGCTACTGAAACAAGTGCCAGTGTTACGGACAGTTTCCAATTCTTAAAGGTCAATCCACTGCTCTTTGCTTATTAGTACCGAGCGGGTTCGATATTCTTCCCCCCTCTGTCTCTCGAGGCACAGCCAGATAAAATGGCGCCACAAAACGAGCAGAGCTCTTTGAAACGTGGCAGAGTAATTATTGGCTCAATTCTTTGCTTACTTTTGTCTGACAACTGCTAACCAACCTGTTGGTTCTCATAGGCCAGTGTTGATCAAGATTCGCAAGACCAGAAGAAGCCGCGTCGCTCGGAAAGAATCTCGTCCAGAGCTCAGCCACAAAACACTCCAATCGAACAAGAATACCTACCTACGCCAGTGACTCGACAAAGTTCAACCGTTACAGATGCTCGAAACGATACAACGGCCACTCCAACGGATGAAGCTAGCCAAGTCTGCGATCAAACATCAATCAATTTAGAGCCACTCGAGGACACCCAACCTGAGGACACACAAGCTTTCTCGCAGTTTGTATATCCACCAAGGGCATTTGCTGATGAAGTAGAGGATGGGGATGTGGAGGGCGTTTGGGGCTACCTAATCCCGCTTGATGACACAGTCCATAGTGCACTTTCGCTCACAAAGCGGGATAGTTGCCAAGGTCCCAGAAACAATGGTGACGAAGGACGCGATAAAGATTCTGGGAATGGAAAGAAAGGCAGCTGCCGTCCTGGTGGTTATTTAATCGGTCGTCACCCAGAATGCGGTAGGTTATCATACCCTGTCTACTGTCGACAATGCCTGCTAAGAGATCAGATTTGCTCCTTGAGATCCCAACAATATCCAATCGACACTTCATGCTCTTCTCGGAGAACAAAAAGGGTGATGTTGTCGCAATGTTGCAAGATTTGTCCAGCAACGGCACCTTCATCAACGACGCTATCGTTGGGCGAAACAAGCACCGCGAGCTTGAGGACGGCGACGAGATTAGTATCTTGAATGAAGCGCGTTTTGTTTTCAGGTACCCGAAGTCCAGAGACACAAACGGTTTCCGGCAACAATATAGGATCCTCCAGCAACTTGGAAAAGGGCATTTTGCAACCGTTTACCTGTGTGCCGAAAGAGCCACCGGAACCCAGTACGCAGTGAAAGTTTTTGAGAAACGCCCAGGTGATTCCCAGAAAACGCATGCGGATGCGTTGCAGCAGGAGATAGCCCTTTTGATGAGTGTCAATCATGAGAACCTTCTCTGTCTCAAAGACACATTCGACGAAAGTGACGGGATGTATCTTATCATGGAAGTTGCTTCGGAAGGCGAACTATTCAACCTAATAGTTAGCAAGCAGAACTTGTCAGAAGATGAGACACGTCACGTTTTCAAGCAGTTGTTCGAGGGCTTGAAGTACTTGGTGAGGCACACAATTTTCAGGTCGCAATCCACAGATACGCTAACAAGACTTCCAGCATGATCGTGGGATTGTTCATCGAGATATCAAGCCAGAGAACATTCTCGTTTCTGATAAGAAGCTGTCTGTGAAGTTAGGTGACTTTGGACTCGCGAAGATAATTGGGGAAGACTCCTTCACGACAACATTGTAAGTTGTGAATACTGAAGCTCCTAGAACAAGAGCGCTAATTTGTCTTCATAGATGCGGCACACCGAGCTGTAAGCTTTACCCTCAATCAAACTATATCGGGATACTTACCAGTATTGTTTCTTAGATGTTGCTCCTGAGATTTTGCAGGACACGAACTATCGACGATACACCAAGGCTGTCGATATCTGGTCCCTTGGTGTTGTGCTCTACATCTGTCTTTGTGGCTTTCCCCCGTTTTCGGATGAGTTGTATACGCGACAGAACCCGTATACCATGGCCCAACAGATTAAGATGGGCCGTTTTGATTATCCATCTCCATATTGGGATTCCGTGGGCGATCCAGCCTTGGATCTCATAGACAGGATGCTTACGGTTAATGCTGATCAGCGAATCACGGTGGAAGAATGCTTGGAACACCCATGGCTTCTAGGGAAATCTTCCAGCCTTACTGATAGCACGGACGGACTGACCGGAGCTCTGGATAATCTCGACTTCTCGAAGCGCAAAGTTGAACGCGAGCGAACATTGCTCAGCAGCATGAATGACATCCGATTCAGTGAACGTGCGGAAGAAGGCGGTGCTCCTGTGAAGATCTTCCACAAAAATGAAGCCGGTAAACGGGTTTCTAACCAACCTTCTCAAGTTCTCGTTCATCAGAGTGAACCAGAAGCTCGCCCTAATGAAAATAGCGCGCCTCAAGATTTTGCCAATCTTGGAGAGCGAGGTGACCCACTTCTTTATGAACAAGAACCAACGAGTCGCTATCCATAGAAGGGTACTACCCTCTGGATGCCACACACTCTTAAGCCTACTCTCGCTCTCTCTTACGCTTTCTCAGCATCTCTTTGTATCAACTTTTAGCCTTTATTTTTAATTAGCACAGCCAGCATTGTTGCTGCTGCCATTGACAGTGAGAGGATTACTGGGGTTTACCTGTTCTCATTGGGGCAGTTGGAATACGATCAGCCAAGGGATACTTACATTGTGTTAGGGAACTTGTTTAACCAAAAATGGCGTCTATGGTCTTAGGAATGCAACATGTTTTAATTACAACCCCCCGTTTAAGTTGATATATGCAGAAGTATGGCTGACCAGAACCGTATCGTCCCTAATCATACTGAATGCTAATTTCCAGCTTCGTTTTTGCCCTGTTTCAGCTTATCCTTTCATTTTAGTATACCTATTTTATGACCTTGACATGACCGCGTCTAACTACATTTGAGCCATAGCAAATGGACAGAATACCAGCTCATCGACAAACCACATGGCCTTCGTGCAACTGAGCATCAGTGATTCATATACTAGATATCATACATACTTCTATATTATGCTCACTATATTTCTTGATTACCATATATTGAAATGTAACGTGTCTCAGAAAGTCTATATGTCCTCATAATCCCAATGCTTACCAGGGCACATAAATGTGCCGCGCTGGGAACAGGATTGTTATCACTGAAGCAATAATAGACGAAAGTAGACAACTTGAAAATCATGTTCTATTTCACAAGGGCGGGCCATCTGATAGTAGAGCATTCTCATCCTTAAGAAAATGCCCCGTCACCTTCGCCGAATTCTCCGTGAGATGATAAATGCAACTTCGGAAGGGTCTCATTCGACACTTTCAAAGGTATCTTGCAGTACCAACCAACTGGCGACCAGAAATCCCGCGACTTCCCAACCTTGCCCATTCAATTTTGTGAATACAGTCTGGCTATACATCAAACAGCAGCCCTGTATCTCATATTCGTCTTCATAGACCTTTTGCCATACCCAATAAAAGGGTGCTAGTCCTGGATATCTTGCCTCAAGAGTATAATACCCCACAAGCGGATCAGGATCATCATGGTAGTCGAGTGCTGATAGATCATGCCATAGGTAGGAGGTGTTCTAGTCAGGAGAAAGCTGATAGTGATAGGAGTAATGGATATTGCTTTATCAAGTGATGCCAAGTTTCGAAGTTCACAGCCTCCGCGGGCAATAGTCAAGTAGGGTTCAGAAATCCATCAAGCAAAGTGGTGTGATGTCGGAACTTGGAATCCTGCGCCCTGTTTCCTACCTGGGACATAGGGGCAATCCTTGTAAAATAACGGGGTTCTTGGGTCAACCGTCTCATTAACTAACTAATTCTTTTTATCTCTCAAGATATTCCGCATTTGTAGTCATCAGAGTTGAGGTGGCCATTATTCGCTGCGCCATCCAGGGGCGGTGCGTAACGTGCTCCTGTAATACACTGTATTTACATTCTACTCTGCAAGGTCAATCGGTGGAACTTGGTGAATCCTCAGCCCCTTCTGGTTAGTATAGCCCCATACAAGGGTATCGGCGTCTGTACATACAGTATACAATACAATTCGTATTACCCTATACATTACTTCGTACACCGGTCGAGACCTGCTCCAGATAACACTTTTTCCCCTTTCCACCACAATAATAATAAATAATAATATCTTCTGCTTGTCAGGTTCGTGGGCCAGTTGTACAATACCCCATTTCATTGTCGCCAATTCTTGTGAGGCCTTGGTGAGTGCCTCCACCAAGAGACACTCTTCTCTCCCTTTTCTTTTTCTCCTTTTAACACACCTATCCTTTTCCCGCAGCCATGGGACTTCTTGCAGTCATTCTGGAGAAGCTCTCCGAACTTCACTCGACCCAGTCGTTATGGGTTCTCACCTCTGTAGGGCTGTTGGCCCTGTTCAGTGTGTCGGTCGTCGTCAATGTCTTGCGGCAGATTTTATTCAAGAATCCCCATGAACCTCCCTTAGTCTTCCATTGGTTCCCCTTCGTTGGTAGCACCATCAGCTATGGCATGGATCCATACAAGTTCTTCTTTGAAAGTCGCGCAAAGGTACGTGTTCATTTCCCTGGTCGAGCGTGCTTTCGTGTTTCTCATTTGCGTGCGCATTGTAGTACGGCGATATCTTCACCTTCGTTCTCCTGGGCAAAAAGACCACCGTCTTCTTGGGCACGAAAGGTAATGAATTTATCCTCAACGGCAAACTTCGAGACGTTTGCGCCGAGGAGGTCTACTCGCCGCTCACGACACCCGTTTTTGGTCGCAATGTTGTGTATGATTGCCCCAACTCTAAACTCATGGAGCAGAAGAAGGTATGTGAAATGACAGAGCTGGCGCAGGCGAAGCAACCTTGTTAATAAAACGTGCAGTTCGTCAAGTTCGGTCTTACTTCCGAAGCTCTTCGGTCCTACATCGGTCTGATTACCGCCGAAGTCGAGAGTTTTGTCGAGAAATCTCCCGTCTTCCAGAAGCCCAAGGGTACCTTCGATGTGTGCAAGTCGATCGCCGAAATTACAATCTATACCGCGTCGCGTGCTCTACAAGGAAAGGAAGTCCGAGACAGATTCGACTCCACATTTGCAGAGATGTACCATGATCTTGACATGGGCTTCGCTCCCATCAACTTCATGCTCCCTTGGGCTCCTCTCCCTCATAACCGGAAGCGTGATGCCGCTCAGCAGAAGTTGACCGAAACGTATATGGAAATCATCAATGACCGACGCAAGGCCGGTGGCAAGAAAGACTCTGAAGACATGGTTTGGAACCTCATGTCGTGCACTTACAAGAATGGCACCCCTGTTCCCGATGAGGAGATCGCACACATGATGATTGCTCTGTTGATGGCTGGCCAGCACTCCTCTTCTTCTACTGCATCCTGGATTCTCTTACGTCTTGCGGCTCGCCCAGACATCGCCGAGGAGCTTTACCAAGAGCAACTCCGTGTTCTCGGTTCTGATCTCCCTGACCTCACGTTTGAGAGTCTGCAGAAGCTAGATCTGCACTCTAAAGTCATCAAGGAAACCCTCCGTATCCATGCACCTATTCATTCGATCATTCGAGCCGTCAAGAACCCCATGTCGGTGGACGGTACTCCGTATGTGATTCCTACGTCTCACAATGTGCTTTCTTCGCCAGGTGTCTCTGCGAGAGACGAACAGTTCTTCCCCAAACCTCTCGTATGGAACCCTCACCGCTGGGATGAAGTTGCTCAGCCCACCACGGAAGATGAGGAGAAGATCGACTACGGATACGGTTTGGTCAGCAAAGGCACAAATAGCCCCTACCTCCCATTCGGTGCTGGGCGCCACAGGTGTATTGGTGAGCAATTTGCTTATGTCCAACTTGGTACAATTCTTGCTGCCCTGGTGAGAATCTTCAAATTCCGCAACATTCCAGGAGTTGAGGACATCCCGGAGACGGACTACTCGGTAAGTTACCGTATTTTGCGCTTTTTTTTTCTTATGTGATTCTATGACCTAACAATTGGATTTAGTCTCTGTTCTCGAAGCCCCTTGGCCAATCCTTTGTGCAGTACGAAAAGCGTGAGTCTGCTACCAAGGCATGATTAAAGTTACGTGCTATTTACGGCATTTCCTACTTAAACCTTTTAATTATGGGCAGAACGGCGATATGACCAGTAGCCCTTGTTCTTTTATGAGTGCTGTCATCCTGCATTTTGACGAATGATTGCTGGCTGTAGATTATTTGTTTCATTTTCTTTTTTTCTTTATTGGTGGTCACCGAACCGCTTTCTTTCTCTGGCCATACTGCAGTATGTATATCGGTTTAATTATGTTCATGACATAGAGAATAATCAAGAATTCAGTACATAAACTTACTATAATTATATGTTCTATATCTGCTCTGATATCGCTAGGATGTAGGCTTAAGCAGGAATTTGATAATCAATTGGCTTATAACAATTCATACTCAAAGAACAAAAGGAAGACTAAGGAGCTATTATACAAGCAGACGGCAAGCTGCCTTGTCCTTAATGGTACCATGCAACTCCCTCTACACTGCTTTCACTTTTCGATTCCCAACATACTTCTGAATCAAAGACTTTATGCCGGTCCCTTTCTTCTCTCTTCAATGCGCTTTTTAGCCCTGACTTCGGCTTGTCTCCTTTCACCACCATCCACCTTGTGTCCCTGCTTGTCCTCCCACATGCCTTCCTGGGCCTTGATCAACGCAGCGCTGCCGTTTGTACCCTTCATTATTTGTACGAAGGGACCTTTTATCATCGATCCGTTATGGATTTTCATGTGCTCGAACTTTTTCAGCGGCTTCGACGAATCGGGCTTGTAGTCGGTAGCGTCGGGGTTTAGGTTCACAATGACTTTTCTCATGCCGGGCGTAGAAGTAGCAGACGAAGATAATGATGACGACTCGGTGACTTGTGTCGAACTCGTAGTAAATTCGTAGGGGACCTCAACTACTCTCAACTGTGCAACACCATCGACCACATTCTCGAGGTCACCTCCGACTCCATACTGGCCATTCCTAAACTTCTCGCGCTTCCGGAGCAGATACCGTCGCTGGCGTGCAGGTTCAATACCTAGGTCTCGAAGTTCGGCGGAGGAAAATGTGAATAATTTGTCCCAAGATGGCAATTTGCTAGCATGTTTTGACATGCCGCGGCCGATCAGACTGAGAAAGGTTTCGACATTAGGGACGAACGGAGTGGGCGAGGGGACACGTGGGACTTCATTTTTCTGGTGAAGGCATCGGACGCATTGTCTCGTCACGCGGAACGGTTTCATCAATCTTGCGGAGAAAAGGCCGAGTCGTGAGCCGCGCATCGCCATGGTGGGCTACTTTCGCTATTCGTGACTTTTCACCAGTGAACCGAATGATTGTACCGTGTCGGCCCAGAAGGCAAAGAGATGTAAACAAGGAGATTAAGTTGAAAGTAACAAGTGAGACACCGGGCCAATTTGACCAAAAGTCTCGGTGATGTCAACTTTTCTGGCGACTGAAGCAGGGTCAATTGAGAAATTTGGAGGCCCGTACTTGCCTCCGGGATCAACTAATCTCCGGGGGCTTTCGCGGACCACCAATGACCTCCCGACAGATACAAATACGGATTCAACTATGCAGAAACTTGCTAATTTAAATAAGAAAGAAAAAAAAAAAAAAAAAAAAAAAACAATGGTCAAGGGCGAATCGACATTTCAGGCATTATCGAACTGCTCTATCCCCTAATGCGGTGAAGTTTGAAAAGAAATGCGTCTTCCGCCAATCATTGCCATACGTTATCTTTGACATTTCCTAGCGTCCAGTGTTGGTTTAGATTATCCATTCCCTTTCATTTTGCTTTCCTTAGGGATTACAAGGATGGCGGTATCTCCTTTGGTTTCCCACTCGCTCTCTGCAGCAAGTTCTTCTCCGACCAAGTTAAGGGCTGCGATTGTCCAGAGCTCAGTGAAGCCCGAGAACACATCTTCACATCAGCCCTTGCAAAACACGGATCGTGAGCTTACAGAGCAACTAAATGACGAAGTAAGACAGAAGTATGTTAAAGGTATGTATATTTAGGGATTGAACTTCCCTTTATGTTTCTCATTCTGATCTCGCCAGATATGACAATACAGGGCTGATGCGAAGGTTACAGACAAGAGGCTTGGTGAGGGTACTTACGCCGTTGTATTCCTCGGCCGTCTCCAAACAGATCCATCGTCATTTGTCGCTATAAAGAAGATCAAGGTCAATGCCGAATACAAAGATGGGCTATCCATGGATGCCATCCGCGAAGTCAAATATCTGCAGGAACTCTCTCATCCCAACATCATTGCGCTGCACGATGTCTTCTCTTCCAAGGACCAGAACCTTAATTTGGTCCTAGAATTTCTGCCACTTGGCGATCTTGAGATGTTGATTAAAGATGGTAATGTCCATTATGGTGCCGCCGATATCAAGGCGTGGATGGGAATGCTCGCTCGAGGCGTCTGGTTTTGCCATGAAAACTTTATATTGCATCGAGATATCAAGCCAAATAACCTTCTGATTGCGTCTGATGGCGAAGTCAAACTCGCAGATTTTGGTCTGGCCAGGTCCTTTGCCGACCCTTATATGAACATGACGCACCAAGTTATCACACGTTGGTATCGACCTCCCGAATTGTTTTACGGTGCCCGGCAATACTCTGGTGTCGTTGATGTTTGGTCTATGGGAATGGTTTTCGCGGAACTTCTTCTCCGAGTCCCCTTTGTCGCCGGAAACACTGATCTCGATCAAATCAGCAAGATATGTGAAGCCTTTGGTACGCCTACTGAAGAGAACTGGCCGGGTGTCACGAAATTACCAAACTATATTCCTCCCGACAGGAATCACTTTGTCCCGACTCAGGGACGAGACTTCTTCCTTCGTCAATTTCCGAATGCCGGCCCAGTCGGTGCCGATTTGCTCATGTCCATGTGTACGCTGGATCCCAGGAAACGGAAAACCGCACGCGAAGTCTTACAGCATAACTGGTGGACCACTGAACCGCGGCCGACAGACAAACATAATCTTCCCCAGAAATCCGGAGGCACTAAGAAAATGGGCGATGATCTTACAAGGCGTGGCGGGGAGATTGATGAAAATGCATTCAAGAATGCTGCTCGCAAATTGGACTTTTCTGCAATGTAACGGCGCTAGGAGGGGACATCATGCTTCCAAGAGTTTGGATAGATAGTCGTAATCCAATCATAATAGAAGATTCTTGGGACTTGTACAGAGCAGACCGAGACTAAAAACAGTTGTAAGATATGGTTTGAGAGTTTGCAAGGCATGCAATAAGCTTCCACTGTACCCTGTATGCATGAAGTGCACATAAAGTGGACATGCATGGTGATCTGAGTTTCATCCTTTGCAATGGATCATGCTACTGCGGAGTAGTGCTTACAGCACAAGCGCTCGGCTCTCTAACAGGAACTATATAAATATGGAATATTAGACTCTCTTTCCGTTCTGTAATACTCTGTACCGACTCTACCAATGGACTAATATGTACTGTTAAGCCCACTCCTAATGAAGCATGTCACCAACTTCCCGCAAGCATCGTGATTGACCTTCCATAACCAGTTATATGGACGAACTGGTCGATCTAGACACGGAATTAACACACCTCAGATATAAATGACTAAACCGACTCTGGTTGTTCCCTTGCACGATGTCTCATTTCCTGACTACTCCTTACATACAAGCATCAACTCCACAACGGAAAATCAATGATTGATATGCATACTGGACAATCTGCGGCCGATTTGTCTTTTGGCACTAACCGGGGGAAGACTGAGCCCTGGTTATCAGACGAACTACAAATTCCCCAATGGTCTTCTGTGCTCCGTACTATATATGGGTATATTTAGCATACCGGTCGGAGTAGTGTAGGTAAAATCAGGGGTTTGTTCCATTCCTTCCCTGTTATTTTCTATCTTGTGTATAATCAATCTCCGTATAGACCCTCCAGAACAAATTGCCGTTCCCCTGGTGTTCATTATTATTAACCAACGGGTAACAAATGTGGAGACCCATTCTGCTCTTGAAAAACTTCGGGTCTTCCGGGACTTTTTACCCCTGAAACCACAGACAGGCAGGCAGTCAAGACACACTTCCCGATGTCAGGGGTACGTACATTTATTTAAGTGCCGAGTACGGACGCTGCACGGACGCTGTATGTGATAGGATGAGAATGACCCGGTCATGAATATCGCACTTTGCTCGAATTAAAGAAGGCCAAGGTTGACACAACACGGGCAGAAACCAGAAGGTGGTCTGAGTTGGGGATCTTCATATACCAGAGGAACCCCGAACTCATGCCGGCACACTACTATGTACTGTACTTACTCGAACCAGAATTCCGTACTCTCTCTAGTTATAGGGGACACAGAACACAGAATGCTAATAATAATATCAAGAAAAGTAATGTATAAATTTATATTTAAAATGGAGTTAGGGGAGGAGAAACAAAGAAAACAAAGAGATGAATGGCTCTGTCTTCTAAAGCTAAAAAGAAAAATGCAATCACAATCACCATCACAATTGATCATCCTCCAGCAGTCAATGGACCATGATAGAAATCATAATCATGATATTTGCAGAATGTATCTGTCTATCCGTCCCCCTTCCTGCGTCCATTCAGGAAATAAAGATGGGATTCCACAGTGTATCCTGTACTCTGTAAATGCTTGAAGTAGATGGTCTAACTTTGTGGTAGAACCCAGTTGGCTAGTCTGGGACAATTTAGCATTGGGGTGGTATGATTCTCTTCCTCCTTTCCTCCTTTCCTTTCTTCTTTCCTTTATTCGTGCTTTTTCCAGATCTGTTTCCTTGAACTTCTCTTTCCTCTTCCCCTACCTTATCAACGCCTCGCGTCGCTGGAAGGTGACCACTGACTCAGGCGTCCTGATCTCCTTTCCACCTAGCTCCCGTTCGCCCATAAAGGAAGAAAAAAAAAAAAAAAAAAAAAAAAAAAAAAAACTTCTTATTGTCTGGATCCTAATTCACTTGCACGCGTTATCAAAGTTATCACTTTCCGTTGCCGAGTGTCTGTTCGCTTTTTTTTCTTAAACACCCTTCCCCGCAAAAAAAGGAATCGGAATTGTTGCGCGCACTCGAGCGCCGACGGGAACAACGATATCCACAACAATAGCAATAACGAATTCCAATTTCAATTCCTCATATAAATATACTCGTTCGCCGTTTGGTTGAGGTATAGCGAATACCCACGGCACGGTGGCGCGCAACGATTACCCCTCCGGTTTTCACATTCCAGGCTGGAAGTATCTGGTTAAATAATACAGTTACATTCTCAAAGGTGAGTTTATTCTTATTTATAACCCGGGATACTCGTTTTTGCGCCTTTTTTACTTCAATGTTGTCATTGTTGCTATTGTTCGAAACCCGGACGGATAGGGGCAGAATCCAATCCGGCAGCTACTATATTCTTGTATAGTCACCTGTTTCTGTGCCCTTTTCCCTGTTGTTGAATACTTGCATCTCGTAGCACGGCTACATTTTATTCACCAGTTTCGCACGGTTAAAACCATATTTCTGCCCAATGGCTCGTGTTTTTGTGTCGCAGCAACAGCCGACATCTTGTCAAACTCTCTAACACACCGTTATTCTGCAGCTAGCTCTTTCTTGGCTACGCACATGGCCAATCGCATCCACATTAAAACGTGAATTTTGGATATTTTCTTTGTTCGTGGTGGAGGTTAAAGTTGGTAAAAAGACCGAGTTGAAAGACTTATCGACCAGATCACCATGGCCTCCACCATGCCTCAGCCATCACGGCCCACCCCGACTTCGCCGGCCGCGCCTGTACCACCACTGCCAGTCCCAAAATCAAGAAAGAGTCTTCCCGTTCCCTCTGACACGCCCAGAGCTCCATCTCCGTCTCAATCGCCATCAAAACTTCGCACCCCCTCAAGTCCGCGACCGACCCTTAGCAAGTCCCCATTATCCAACTCCACTACCAACATCAGTGCACCACGCTCAGCATCAAGTAGTCGACCGCCAAGCAGTCCAGACAAATCCCTGCGCAGAACTATCAGTATCGCAGCCTTTCCTCAGCCACCCAAGACAGGAAGCCGCCCTGGGACCGCTTCCTCAAATATGCCTGGTGTCAGTTCATCCGGGAGCATAAAAGTTAGAAAAGGCTCAAGGTTAAGTTCCGGTACAACTAGCAGCTATCGGAGTTCAAAGACACCTTCTTTGTTGAATGGTAACGGAGATGGGAAATCGATTCTCAGTGCGGATGCTCGAGACCCAGATGCTTCTCCTTCACAAAGCCGAAGCTCCTCAGCTCAGGAATCATACTCGACGAGCGCAACCACGTACGAGGAGGCTGATGACACTGCAGCAGGTGCTGCTAAGACCGGTGCGAAGTCCAAGGAATCCAAAGGCAATGTCATTGTCAGTGTTCGAGTTCGCCCTGACGCTAGCGGAAATGATGCATCGAGATCGGAGTGGCAGCTGGAGGGGCGAAAAGGCCTTATCTCGCATAGAGGGAAGGAAGCTGGCGACTATTATTATGGTATGGTATCGATCTCCCCGGTGAAATGGAGGACAGGGATATTAAAAAAGAAAAAAAAAAGAAAAGAGAAATCCAGCTAACCTTTCGCGTATATAGATAATGTCTTTACTGCTCATGAGCATAACGCCAAGGTTTACGATGCGGCTGCAAAACGCCTTGTAAGACGGGTTATGGAAGGCTACCATGGTACAGTTTTTGCTTATGGTATGACTGGAACCGGTAAAACCTTCTCTATGCAAGGAACCGCTACCTCTCCGGGTGTCATCCCGTTGGCAATTACGGATATATTCTCCTTCATCAGAGAAACGCCACATCGAGAATTTCTGCTACGTGTCAGCTACCTGGAAATCTATAACGAAAAGATCCATGACCTACTTTCAGCCCCTGCTGCCGGTGCTCAGCAAGAGGATATCAAACTACGCGAGGATAGCAAACGTGGGGTATACGCAACACCATTAAAGGAGGAGATTGTTCAGAGTCCGACGCAACTCCTACGTGTCATCGCAAGAGGTGACCATTCCAGGAGAACCGGCAGCACCCAATTCAATGCACGCAGTTCTCGTAGTCACGCGGTTGTTCAGATTGTCGTTGAAAGCAGAGAACGAGCGCCCGCCGGTACGCCTCAGGACAAGCGGTCGGGTATAATCCCAGGTGGAGTAAGAGTGTCGACTCTCAGCTTGATTGATCTGGCCGGCTCGGAGCGTGCTGCGGATGACAAAGAGCGCCGCACGGAAGGTGCCCATATCAACAAAAGCTTGCTCACTCTGGGTACTATCATCTCAAGGCTATCAGAAAACAAGGATAAGAACGGCAATCCTATCGATAAAGAAGGTAGACACCTACCATATCGGGATAGCAAATTGACGAGGCTGCTGCAACCTGCCTTGTCGGGCAATTCGCTGGTTAGCATTCTTTGTACTGTTGCATTGATCGCCTCAGGAAGCTCTGCTGCTGCCAATTCACATTCGGGGGAAACTCTCAATACTCTCAAGTTCGCCGCTCGCGCCAAAAACAGCATTGTCAGCCATGCGAAAAAGGCAGAGGAAGCGCTCGGTAGTGGTGGTAGTGATTCAGGTAGCCGGGTCCTTTTAGAACGTTACCGGATGGAAATCCAAGCCCTTCGTTCTCAGCTGGATAGCCATACCAAAGCGCAGGCCGAAAAGGAGATGAAATTGGAAGATGAGCAGTTCGAAAAAGAAGCGCAGACACGCCACGAGGAACAGATGCTGGAGATACAACTAGCACGGACAGCACTGAAGGAAAGAATCGAGCATCTCAACCGTTTGATTTTGTGTTCAAAATCCACCGGGGTAAACACCCAGGGTAATTTCTCCGCCTTGGGGCGGTTTTCGAGGATGTCTATCAATGATTCCGGGTCTCGATCACTGCGTTCTTCTGTCAGCCAATCCACCTTGGGCGCGTGGGGATATTCTATCAGGCCCACTTCTTTTATGTCTATCAATAGCAATGATTTCTCCCCCAATATGGCGCTCTCCAATGGATCCATCGGAAATGAGGATGATGACGATACAATGGGCGAGTTTGCAGACGGGAAGGCGAGCCTTCAGAGACATGTTGTTACGCTGCAGGCTGATCTTGGAGACAAGAATCGCTATATCGCCACACTTGAGAGACGTCTGCTGCAAGCTAGGCGTTCAAGCCATTCTCGGATGTCAGCAGGTATGAAGGCTGGCAATACTGGAACCGAAAACACCGATACCGATACAGCGGCCATTATCCGAGAGAAGGATATGGAAATCAACGAACTTCGTTCACAGCTCGATGACAAGGACCGGATGCTTGCTGCCCTTCGTTCGGCAACTCGACATCGAGATGTGGCTCGTGTAGCTACCGATCCGGTCCAAACTCCAAATAGCGACACGAATAGTGGTTCAAAATCACCTGAAATGCTGAATAGTCCGCGTTTGTCGCTCGTGGAAAGTGAAAAGGAGAAGAAAAGGAAGAGTGTGGACGAGGTATCAAAGATGCTGGATGAGATGATTCAAGATCGGGTGGAAAGCGGCCATATCATTAAGGGCTCGCGTGGGAGTGTCCGTGTGGCTGCTGACAGTCGACGAACTTCTACGCAGATGACGGGAGTTCCCATTCTGAACGCTACCTTGGATCCAGTTGATTCTGCAAAGAATGGTGTAACTGAGTAAGCAATACTTGGGTTGGGTTGTCTCTGTACAGTTCACTGTTGTATACTCATCTGGCTATGATATAAGGAAGGCCTTGGCTGCAAGGGATGAAATGCGTTTGTTGTTCATTGGTTATTGTTACAAGTATTTTTTTTCTTTTCTTTTTTCTTTCTTGCTTGTGCCCTTTTTTTTCTCCTTTTCAGATACCCATGTTGCTTTGCTTTTGCTTCTCTCTTCTCGCTATTCGAATGATTTCGACTTGTTACAGTGTTCAATAATATTTTGTTCTTATGGATGCAGACATGGTGCTTGTATGACAGATTTAAGGCTTGGCTTTTTGCTCGATCTATACTCGACCATTGATTTTGCTGCTGGTCTGAAACGAAGTTTGGTGTGAGGGTATTTACCCCATACCATTCTGGTGCTTATGCTCTAGTTTTCTTTTTTCTTTTTTTCTTCTGGTATATATACCCCTTGCGGCTAATTAATGTGGTTCCATGGTGACTTTGCATGTCTTATTTGTTATAATGATAATAATGCTTATACTGTTTATTTGTATACTGTGTATGACTATATTGGGTGTTGAGTAACTCATAGACTAGACTCACACTATGCACTGGTGGTGTACATAAACTGCCTTTGGCAAAACATGAAAAGAAAACAAAGTAGCGAAGGGGTTGGAGAACTGGTTCAGGCCTGTCATCCCTTCACGAAATGATTTCCAATTCTGAAATCCGGTCCTTTGCAAAAGTGTCTTTCCATTGATCCCACAACCGGTGGAGTTCGGAAACATATCGAGCGTGAAGTTCATTGACATAATTATCGTCGATTTCTTCCCGGTCATGTTGTTGGATAACCTGGATCGGACGACCGACGACAATGTTCAATGGCCGACGGTACGGCATCAACCCTACATCATAGTTGAAAACACCGCGGGCATGAAAAAGCGGGATAGTGAAGCCCATGGTATGCTTTATGAGCATTTGGAATTTATGTATGAGAGGATGATGATCAGAGCGTACTTGCTCATAAAGATCATTCTCACCAAATGCAAGAACGGGTACCAAATCAGCACCGGTGCGGATTGCTAGTTTGATAAAACCCTTGCGCCGTTTCAAGACCAGCCGTATAGAATGCGGCAGAGCGTCGAGAGACTCCCGAGCACCACCAATTACGATGGTAATGGCGCGTCCCATGCCTTCACCATCAGCTCCCCCGTTAGTAAGTAAGTTCTCACAAGATTCGCGGGAGACGCTTGCAAGCCCCATGGCGAGAGCATATTCTCTGTAAAATGGAATTCGGAAATTGGAGTCAAGGGTCAGCAAAGTGTTGGTAATACCCGGGAAAAGTTTGGAAAATCCGAGTGCCTCCGTTGCAAATGCTGCGAACGCACCATGAGAAATGATCCCATGTGGATGATAGCCAAAGATATACTTGCGCGTTGGAAGAAGCGGTTCTGAGCGATGCAGCTGGGCGGGAAAGTAGGATACATAGATCGACCAGGCTCGAAGAGAACGCAAGAACTCGCTCCGGCGGCTTAACGTACCCGATGTTGCTGTCGCAGAGAAAAGCGATATATAAACAAGGTAAGGAATCAATATCGGCCAGAATAATGGTATTGCGCACGTGAAAAAGAAGAAAGTCAGGAATATGGCAATGGTGAGAGTATGGCATAGTACCACAAAGGTCTGCAGGCGTCGTTCGAGTCCAATATTCAAGGGTGCCCAATGAATGCTGGATCAGTCGTCAGCTCGCCTGAAGCTTTTCATTCCAAATGAGCCGGTTTCTCTCACCCTCCCTTTTTCCCGCTGTTTCCTAGCTTGTTTGGGCGAGTATTGCCAGAGGCCCCGCATAGCTCTAATGCGTTGTGATTTTGCTTTGGACTTTCGCCTGCCCAGTTTCTGTGTTCGAATGATTCCGATTCAGTATCATCCGCAGAATGAGACTTGCGATGAGGTTCACGAAATTGAGACCGACTATTTCGAGCTGCCAGGTTTGGTTTATTTGACTTGAGGGGAATTCCTTGGCCCATGGCCGTCGCATCTTGTCGCGCTGACTCTCTCAGAACCCGCTGCACGGGCTCTTTGACGATGTTGGATGTGGACATTTGGGATCATCAGACAAGCTAGGACTTCTTTTATATGGAGTCAGAAACTCGAGAGTCAACAACAAAATACTTCATTCAGTATAATCGGATGTCATAATTATTATTGAATAGATCGTAATATAATAAAGGAACGATGGATAGTCGATTGCACTGACTCGGCATGTGGAGAAGCAATGATGACATGGCTCTTGGCTGGGTGTACGGCTATTATCTTCTTCCCAAAAAAATAGAATAAATAAACCCTCTCTCTTTTGTTTCAGTACATTGATTGGATTCAGATATACTATCTATCTTATATATATTATTCTTTGGTAGAGCGTAGAGATTTCAGAAGCAGGGTTGACCCAGAAATATTATGCACTCCTTTTCTGAGTCCTAATGCTGAATGCCCATCACAAATTTACAATCCGACAGAGGGAAGAAAGGAAGACAAGAAGACATAAGAATTCTGCAGCCAGAAAACCTGTTCAAAAAGAGCTGCAGAGAAAGAAAACTCTCACATTCTCAGAGAGCCCTCTGTATCACGCGTTTTCTAGGATTTAACCATAAAAATCTGGATCCCAGTTAGCCAATTAAATCCCTCTAAATGTATATGCAGGTTTTTAGTTACCTCATTAAGGGATTTGTCATCCAAAAGTGCCCTCTTTTTCTGTGCGATATGTCTCGCCCTGGTAACATTCCTGCCCAATGGAACGCGCTCTTTCCTTGACGCTGAAGTCGGTACAACCACTGATGATGTCTCCGCAGCAACATTCGCTTCCGTCATGACAGCGTCCTCGGTTGTTGTTCTTGAATCAAGATCTTCGCTATCCTCGCTGTGCTTCCTCTTCTTAGCTCTCTTATCCCGTTTTCTTTGCGACTTGTCGTTCTCGTCCCCTTGGGAGTTCTCTTTCCTCTTCTTCTTTTTCTTATCTTTTTTCTCTTTCTTCTCATTCTTCTCCTTTCTCTTCTCCTTTTTCTCCTGATCTTTATTCTTCAAATCCCTGCTCGGAAATGTGACATTTTGCGAGAGACTGGTGTCTAAACCATCAATAGCGACATCATTGCTTGTTCTGTTGCCTTTCTCATCCGTGGATTTGTTTTCAGGTGACTTGGTGGTAGCAGCGTCGGTTTTCTCTTGGACTAATAGACCGCCACGAACGAACCTAACGGCTTGCCATTTCGTTGCTGCATATCGGGCCAGTTTAATGTCGTCACGTTTCCGTTGCTCTTTCTCCAGTTCGACGTCTGACTTTCCATTTAATCGGCCCAGTAGTCCTTTGAATGCATCGAGGCCAGTTGGCTCATCCAAAATCTTAGGTCGCGCGCCTAACCCGAGAGTGTCATCTTTCACGGTGACTCTAATGTGAGATGCGCTAGCAGGGGTGAGCATATCAGCATGCGCAGCATTCCGAGCGCCTAAAAGACTCCCTGGAGTCCATCCTTGGGAACTGAGAATTTTATGCCCGAAACCACTCGTTGACCGGGTCCAATTTACGTTGTTCGGGTCATGCGATATCTTTGTTCGCCTAGATGTCAAAATTAATTAAAAATCAGAGATATGCTGATTTAACTTTTTAATTGATATGTTTTTTGGAGAGAAGTTGAGAAAATCACATACTTGCGAGGCGCTGCCAAACCCATTTATGGCAATCAAATTCTGTGTACACTCTTTCTTTCTTTTTTTCTTTCTTTCTTTTGTTTAGAGCACAGGAAAATAATATTAAGAAATAGAGAAAAACAAAACAAAAGATGGAAGATACTCGTGAAGGATAACGATAAAGGAAAAAAAAAGTTTCAAAATTGTTATCAATAACTGATAGGAAGCACGCACTTTCGATGAGTAAGCTACCTAAATCCGGAGTCTTCAGGAGAAGCAGCAAAAAAGCATGAGCAAAGGAAACACTAGCCACATCTGTAGGAAGCAAGGATATCGATGATAGTAGTATATAATAAATTATAATGCCTAGCTCCCAAAAATGAGGTTCCATCCATGTTGTAATGTTTCCAATTGTTTACAAGGTAAGGTCGGGGAATGAAGTAATATGATAATGGATCTCATACAGATACTCCTACCCCTGTACGGAGTAATACCTATGAAAGAAAAAGGACCATTTGAATGAAAAGGAAAGATATCTTACATAATGCATAATAACTTTAACTAACTAGTTGTGAATGGAACCGACCTGGAACACGTCTCCGACTGTTCTATCGCAGCTCTGGTATCCTATGCTTTTGTGTGTTGGCATCTATCCTAACTATGCCCATTTGGTAAACTGAAGCCATGTCTATATCTAGCTTACGGGTTTTTTGCCAGGACTATCCGCAACGAACAATTGCTCTGGTGACCACAGAACATGCCCTGATCTTCTACTGCTCAACAGATATAGTTCCCAACTCCCAGCGAGAGCCGCCACGTTGCCTAGTGGAATTTTCAAGCTTATCATCTGTAGACCTCAAGGGCTACAGAGCCTTAGGAAACGGATATGGCACACTTGGCTTGGTCACACTGAACGAAGATGTCTTCCTGTGTGTTGTAACTGGTTCCTCGAAAGCTGCAACGGTCAGACCTGGAGAGACAATTTTGAGGATTGATAATGTGGACTTCTGTACTATTTCCCAGCTATCCTTGAAACACATCTTACATCTACCAATTCAGAACTGACTTGAATAGTTTGTCTTAGTCGCCCGGACTATGATGGGCTGGATTATGAGGCTGAATATGCAACCGATGAATACAACCATGCCACTGCTCTGGCTGTTGAAGACAGAGAGTTTGATCACCCATTTCTCGCCTTAAAGAAGTTGCTCAGCGATGGCAGTTTCTACTATAGCCGTGATTTCAATCTCACGGATCGGCTGCAAGATCGGTGAGCCAATTCAAATTCTCGCTCACCAGGCTCGGCTGACGCGCTGTCAGTGCTGAGAAGTCGGCAGCCTTTGACATCGGAACGCTCGATGAAGATATGCTATGGAATTCATACATGATCAGTTCTCTGCTCCTTTTTCGAAGCCACCTCCCACCGCCCGAAAGGGAGCGTCTTGACTCCTCCAAGATCCTTACCTGTGTCATACGAGGGTTCGCTAACACACTGACCATTCCTGCCTCCGTTCCTATCCTACCTCCAGCTCAAACCAATTTACCATCCACTCTAACGATTATCTCGCGTCAAGCTTCGGGGCGCGCAGGAACGCGATTCAATTCCCGTGGTATCGATGATGACGGAAACGTCGCTAACTTCGTAGAAACTGAAACGATTCTCTGGATGCCCTCCGGCATTACGTTCTCTTACGTTCAAGTCCGCGGCTCAGTGCCCATCTTTTGGGAACAAGCCACAGGGTTCCTTCCCGGGCAGCAAAAGATTGAAATAACACGGTCTACCGAGGCAACACAGCATGCGTTCAATAAGCACTTTGACCACCTCGAACTAGAATATGGAGCCGTTCACGTCGTCAATCTTCTTAGCGGGCTCAAATCTGGAGAAACAGAGCTCTCGACAAAGTTTCGCTCACATATCATGAGGAGACTTGAACAAAAAGAAGATGTTGGCGTTAGTAATTTGTCTGGCCATGCCCTTCTGCGGACCACTGAGTTCGATTTTCATGCGGAAACCCGAGGCCCACTTGGATATGGAGCAAGCAGTCAGATCAGACATGAAGCAATGAATTCTTTACAGGGGTTTGCATACTTCTTGTCCGAAGGTTCTGAGTTTGCAGCCACATCTGGGGTTGGATGTCTAGATTCGCAGCAGAGTTCCCCAATTGTCCTACAGCAAGAAGGTGTTTTTCGGACAAACTGCTTGGACTGTCTCGACAGGACCAATCTTGTACAGACAATACTCAGTTCAATGGCACTTGAGCTGTTTCTTTCCCAGCAAGGAGCTGCTTTGAGCACTGAAGTTCAAATGAGGCATTCAACCCTATGGGCTGATAATGGAGATTCCCTCTCAAAGATATATGCAGGGACCGGTGCTCTAAAGAGTTCATTTACTCGGCATGGAAAAATGTCACTTGCAGGTGCGCTTGCAGATGCACGCAAAACAGCCACGCGGCTATACGTGAACAATTTCTCGGACAAAGCGCGGCAAAAAACGATTGAGCTTCTATTAGGGCGGTTGACGAATCAAGTGCCAGTGCGCCTATACGATCCCGTCAATGATATGGTATCTCAAGAGCTCAGCCAACGGGCGTCAGAATATTCTTTTGCCCGATCAATAAGGGTATGGGCTGGCACTTTCAACGTAAATGGAAGCGGCCTTGGTCCTGATGTTGACCTTGCGCCGTGGTTGTTCCCAGTCTTCGATCAACAGGGGGATGAACCGACAATATTCGCCGTTGGGTTTCAGGAAATCGTCGCACTAAGTCCGCAGCAGATAATGTCTACAGACCCTACTACACGTAAAGTATGGGAAAATGCTGTGAAAAGCTGTTTGAATAGTTACTCAAAATCAAGAGGCTCAGGGAATTATGTCCTTCTACGGAGCGGTCAGCTTGTCGGTGCGGCTTTAATGGTATTTGTGAAAGAAGATGTGCTCAAAGAAATCAAGAATGTCGAAGGGAGTGTCAAAAAGGCGGGTTTCCCAACCATACATTGTTGGTAATATTGCTAACGGCCCAATAGACGGGTCTTTCTGGAATCAGCGGCAACAAGGGAGGCTGCGCAATTCGTTTTGAATATTCTGACACCCGGATATGTTTCGTGACAGCGCATCTTGCAGCTGGGTTTGCAAACTATGATGACAGGAACAGAGACTATGGAACTATAGAAAATGGTCTTAGGTTTCAGAAAAATAGATCAATTCGAGATCATGACACCATTATCTGGCTGGGTGATTTCAATTATCGGATTGGCCTAAGCAACCAAAACGTCAGAGAACTTCTGCTTCGCGGGGATTATCAGCGACTCTATGAAAATGATCAGGTACTACACACGACTATTCCTGCAATATATACATATACGCATGGCTGACAACGGTCTATAGTTGAACTTACAGATGTTAGGCGGGAGGGCTTTCCACTTCTATTCCGAGGGCCCAGTATGCTTTCCTCCGACATACAAATATGACATTGGCAGAAATGAATATGATACCTCGTAAGATGCCCTGATCTTGCCAGACAGTTGAGGGAATTTAACTGATTTTCCCGTCAGAGAGAAAGCACGTGTACCTGCATGGTGTGATCGAGTGTTGTGGAAAGGGTCCAACCTCTATCAGATATACTATAATGCTGCAGATTTACGGTTCTCTGACCATCGACCAGTTTGTGCTAAATTCATTTGCACAATCAACGTCATTGATGAATCTTTGAAGGCTCAACTCAGGCAAACTCTCTATGATGAGAGACAGTATGGCATGCACGATGCCCTCGCAAAAGGAATCATGCAGATGGATATCATAGATAGGGAGGCTATCCAGACTGCTGACATTACACCTGCTCTTCCACCAGCTAGTTCAGACAACCACAAGTGGTGGTTAGATGATGGTATGTTCTTTTTGTGTTTTATATACATCGTTTGGAATTTGACCACCCCCGTTCACATTCTCTTTCTCTCTCCATCCGTGCTTGTGTGATATTGACATTCAGAAGGTGCCCCTGCAAGGTCAACCATGAGGTTACCAGCAAATGACTTTGCTGTGAACGTGGATCGGAATTCTAACCCATTTTCCTCAAATGACGAATGTGACTGGGTCCGTATATCAGGCTTATCAGAATGGGGTACGAATATAAACGGTAATATGGGCACTGAGCAAGCATCACCGCGTTCTTCGGAATGCGAACTTCTCGATGCGTCGTCAACCCAACCGGAAACTGGCAATCAACAAAGCACTGCTGCTTGGAAAACACAAGGTTCTCGAAAAGTAACACAAGATCTGAAAATGCCGCCGCCAATACCTCGAAAGCCAATTGCCCTGAGCTCGAGGGAAAAGTCACATGATGTGAAACAAGGGCAAGCCTCACTGATGAGAGATGGGGATATAACCCATTCCGAGTCACACTTACGACCTATTAACAATCCATCTTCACTAGAAGATGCAGACTCATGCCCAACGTCTCGAGACTCGGGTTTACCAAGTTCAAGTGCGCATCGAGGGCAACAAGCCCAGGAATATACGAATACTGGAAGGGATACCAATGATCTCTTGGGCGATATCATGGATGGGAGTGTCAATTGGAAACCACTACTTCAATGATATAAACGCTTGGTTTTCTGTGTCACCTGAAATTCATTTCCGCATGGGCTTCCGGTGGGAGTACGCCAAGAAGAATTCAAAATACAATTATCACCAATCCATTTTACATTGCAGTATATGATGGTTTACCGCTGTCCTTCTGACCATTTTGAGAAAACAAGTACTTATCATGAGTGGGGATCAGACAAGCAAGGGCATTGATATAAAAATGGCTCAACCCTAATTGAGTCATAATTACTACTGTACATATGCAGCATTGGCCGGTGGGTTTTCTTTATGTAACAATGATCCTGTATATTATATAGTACTCGGGCTCTTCACTGTTATCTGCCGTACTAAGGTTCCCGGCGCATAGTAATTTACGGAGAGACCTTTCATAAACCGGCTTTTTAAAATATAAGCGGAACATTCGGATAAAATACAGAGAATGACTGCCCATTGTACAGCCCCGAGGTATTGAAAATCAATACGACACCGAAAGGAAAAGTCATTCCCTTATGCATGATAAACTACACCTTGGAACTGTTTGATTAACGAGAAGAGAAGTGGGCCTTATACTAACAATATTAAAAACTTAGAATTTGTCCTTCCTTGAGGCTAGTATCAATGTAAGATTATCATGATCGAAACGCCTCTACCGTAGCCCGGTGGCTACCGAATCTTGAATCCAACTCCATCTCAGAATGCGGCAGGATACTTCAAGTGAATCAGCTATTCAGACTTTCTTACCACTTTCCAACCCTTGTTTGATTTCATGCGGTGCCCCCCGACAACCCACATGGCGAACGCTCCAGGATCCTTTTGTCGTTGTTTCTTGGTACCTGAAAAGCGGAGAGATCAGCGATCAGTAAGATATCAAGAAATAAAAAGGCTACAAGAACAACAGTAGCGAGACATGATTCAAATTTCATAAAAAGGGAGAAAGAAAAGAAGGCGCTACAGTCACAAAAAATTAGCGCATACCTGTTTTCTTTGGTTCCTCGGACGCAGGCGCAGCAGCTTCTTCCACTTCTGAGGCTGCTGGTGGTTCAGGTTCAGGAGCTGGTTCGGGTTCAGGTTCTGGGGGTGGTTCTGGAGCTGGCTCGGGCTCGGGCTCGGGCTCTGGGGCAGGCTCGGGATCTGCTGGAGCTTCTGGGGCTGGAGGAGGCTCGGGAGTCTTGGGCTTTTCAGGTATCGGCCACATGTGCATGGTTATGCTCCAATCAGGCTCAATGACGGTATCCCAAATCTGTGGGAGTATTATATCGCCATTGGGACCCACGAGGTCATAATGACCATCAGCAACATGGGGTCCTATAACTTCTATATGAAGGAATGCTTGGCGTATAAGCTCCTCCATGCCCTTTCAAGATCAATGGATTAGTTAAGCCGCAATGGTACTAGGAGCGCAAATCTCACCTGCCAGGTACAGCATAATTCAAACGGAAAACTAAACTTCCTCCCAATGGCGTCTTTGAACTTTATCGGCTTTTTCTTATCCTCCGGAGGGGGCTGTTGACTAGCGGCTTCCGCTTGCGCCGCAGCAATTGCTTCCGCTGCAGCTGCATTTGCGGCCTCAGTTGCCGCAGACGCCGCTTCTGCTGCCGCTGCCGCTGCCGCTTCTTCTGCCTCTTGTTTTGCTTTGGCGGCTTCCTCAGCAGCTTTTTGTTCGGCTTCAGCCCTAGCAGCAGCAGCAGCCTCCTCGGCGATCTGCTTTTCATGGGCAGCTCGTTCTTCTCTAGCAGCCTCTTCAGCTGCTTCCTTCTCAATCTCTGCCTGACGAGCGGCCTCCCGGGCCTCCCGGGCCTCACGCTCCGACCTCTCCTCTAAAATCAGCTTTTCTAACCTTGCAATGGCTTCATCCTTGGCTGCATCTGCGGGTGGAGCGGGTGGAGGAGATGGACTCGATTCCTCCTGACTTGGAGATGGCGCACGCGGATAAGTATTATAATAAGGCTGAATCATCCCCGGAGTCATTGGATACGGATCTCTAAATGGATAATAACCATTCTGGCCATAAGGTACAAGATCATGAGAGTTTAAAGGGACACCGCCATAAAACTGCGGCCCATTTGGCGATATCGGATGTGGAAACGCTTGCGGCGGTGGACTCTGCGCGCTGCTCCGAGTATGAGGTGCCTGGGGGCGATGTGAGTGACGCCCGAGATGTCCTGGAGGATCCTGGGCAAAAAATGGAGATATGGGTGCACCTGGCGGATGGTGGTGAAACTGTGTGCTGTATGGATAAAGGGGATGTCCATATGGCGATGGTTGGTTCATCGCATTGTGGTGGCCCACCCTTACAAGTTGATCGGATGGAGGATGAGCACCATTTGGATGCCCGAACGGCCCATGTGGAACTGTGTCATGGGAATATGGATATGACGGGCCTGGAGACGGATTATGGGCATATGCTGGCCCTTGGGACACGGGCGGCCAAAACCTTCTGTCCTGAGAGGGTCTGTCATAAGGTTCTGTGTATTCCTCGCCGGAATCCTCACTTTCTGGAGATTCGGGTGAAGGAGGTCGACGTGAACGACGGGGAAGTGGCCCTCGATCTTGTACATAATGACGCCTCGGCGCGGGGCGTCGCATAGAACCAGAAGCTGGCATCCGATCCATGGCTCGCATTCGGTTTCGACCTGTCGTCCTCGGCCGAGAAGCCGAATCAGACGGCTTCAGTTCATCCGGATATGGTAGATGTGCCCACTCGTCGTCGTATGGGTCCTGATATCCATGACTCCCTGGATCTGAGAGCGGGGATCCTCGAACTCCGGACGAGTCCTCTTCGTCTGAGATAGAATGATCCGATCCGATAGTGATATTGAACCTGCCAGCGATAAGTGATCAACCCAGGTAATAGCCCAATCGAACCAGCGTGTTTAACGTACGTCATAGAGGTTCAAGAAATAGGTTTTCGCCCTGTCTTTTCCTCGCTTTTTCACTTAGATACGAGGTGAAGCGGGCGTCAAAATGAAGTTTCCAATTTTTATGGAAAACCAGCGAATTGCGGTGACGGATGCCCTGATCTGCCAATATGAGGCGGGGTATCTAAAAAGAGAGGGGCTAGAAGGCAAAAAAAAAAAAAAAAAAAAAAAAAGGTAGGCGCTAACGCGCTATTATCTGTCGTGGTACGTTCAAATTGCAGTGGCACCGCCAAAGTGAGAAATGATCCTGAAATTTTGCAAAACCTCAGTAATGCAAAAGGATGGGTCTGTTCATATTTGGGATTGGGATTGATCTATCCAATTCCTATTCAATTCAAGATAGACTCGAATGTGATGCGGTTTGAAAAACACAGGGGATGAGCACCAAGCACGAGTCACCAAGAAAAGAGGGGCAAAGTAACCATCTCAGACAGAACAGAATAATGGCGGCAGGACTTGAGGGGGAGAGAAGAGAACAAAGGCAGGAGGGTGAAAAAAGAGAGGAAGAGAGAGGAAAGACTCAAAGAAGGATCGAGAACTCTGATACTGCAGTAGTGTACGGAGTAGTGTGAAGCAAACGCTGACTGCCCGACTAGATATAGAATTTCATTGGATCTGGTGGCCTAATGACAGAGTTGGGCATGGTTGTTGAGGACCAGTGAGCTCATTGTGCTTAGCCTGCTGCCCAACTGCCCAATTAGCACATCCAATGCTCCCCTGTCAAATAATTGCTGCAAGCATACGAGACGTGGGAAATGCAAACAATGTCCACATCTTGCAGTGCGCTATTATACGGATTTTTGGATTGATTGATTGATTTAGAAAAAACAATATATATAACTGCATAAAACATAAAAGAAAAATTAAAAAGGTACAGGTATGTACCCCATACAAATTCGTATCATTCTATGATGAACGCCGACGATCCCGGTTTGAAAGAAATACAATGAGAAGCAATTGAACTGTGGCTTATTTATTATCCAAATAGAGAGAGGTTATGAGCAAACAACATGATACCATGTAAACATTACTGGGATATTTCGTACAGTTCAATCCCTGGTCCCCAAACAAACCCCTCAAAACACCAGAAGACAGCGGAAGAAAGAAAAGTCGAGAGAAAAAAGGAAGAACAAATGAATGAGACGGGAAGGGGGTGAAATATACATGTTTCAAATGTTTCAATTAGACTTGCCAAATCGGTCGAGGAGCTCCTTTGCTGCAATCAGCTCACTTTGACTGTACTTCTGGCCTTGAAAATCCATAAATCGCGATTTAACGATTGCTTCGAGTTTTTGAAAAGCAAATTCATTTAGTCTTGGAAGTGTTTCCTTCAAAGGAACTTCTTCTCTTTCCTCGGTTTCGAGTAGCAATGACGTAACCTATTACGGAGGTAAATTAGCCAGAAACGAGAAGAGAAGAGGGGGAAGAGGGCAGGAGATACCAAAGCTAACCCATATAATCCTCGTACATAGTCATCGCAGAGTTCAATGCTCCTACAATAATGACGCACTGATCTTCTCAAAAGCTTGGATGGATCACCCTGTTCTTTTGAAGAAGCAGAGACATATAACAGTTCGGCCAAGCAAGAATGAACCTAAGCGGACAACAGCATTAATACAAGGTCGAGGAGGACTAAACTGGTATTGCATACATTCCAAGCATTTGGGGTGATTAAAAGGGCCTCCTCAAGACAGAAAACTGCCTGGGAACTCATCCCTTGGAATCGATATAGGTCTGCAAGCTCGCACCAAGCTTCCGTATCTGTGGGAGTGGCTTCCAGGAATTTTATCAGGCTACTTATGGCGTCCGCAGGGCGGGACAGTGATCGCAAAAGAGCAATCCGACGTTTCAAGATGGGCTATCAGTCAAGAGTTAGCCCCCAAGCTTAGAATTGCCTCTTTCAATTTATCCTTTTCGTCAAAGACAAAAATCATTATTAAAATAAAGTGATCAGAACTGTGAGGGAGGTAGGCAAACCAAATTGACTGGATTCTGTTGCAGTATATCGTCATATTCCTGAAGGCACTTCTCCAAAGCAGAGTTATCTCCAGCGATTGCTTCTTCATAAAGACCATGTAGCCCCATTATCCTCTCATTTGATGGCCCAAAGAACTGAGTTAGCTTGTCAAGGCATATGAGAGCTGACTTGTCATCTCCTGTCTGTAGACAAGTAAAGAAAAGCCGCTCCATCGTTGCATATTCTTCAGGTTGTGCCGAGGAAGACGTAATAAGTGATAATGGTGCCATTTTCGGGTTGCTTTGTCGGCCAAGGAGGATTGGTGCTTGCTGTGAATACTGAAGGGTAGCAAGCAGATCTGAACTATGAATGGGTTCGTGCTTCGTATTAGACATGGTAATTAACAAACACTCTAGATTTGAAAGTTGGTGCAAGCATGTACTTTAATATAGTAACATACGCGTTGCAGATAACGGCTCATAAAGAGAAAATAGAGAGGCAATGAGAAGATGTACTCCGTGGAGTTCGGTGTCCCGTGACGTACTCCGCACTACTTCCATAGGTAAATCATGAATATCACTCTCATAAAATTATTAGATTACATTCTTTAAATTTCTCTCTCTCTCTCTTTTTTTTTTATTTTTATTTTTAATATCCTCCTATTCTTTAATTCGACGGCGATTCTGCGGGCATCGGTCACGCTAACATCGAACAATCTCGGGTTGGCGAAAGAACGATCAAGACCAATCTCGTTCTCTGTCGGCAACGGTCATTCTATAGGCCATTTATCCTAGATATAACTTCTCAGATCGAGACGCTTAGTCTTCAAGCAATGTCAGTATATATATATATATATTCGGCTTCTCTAATGCAGACAATAATGCTCAGAAAATATAGGTTCGAGAAGTCTTTATATGACCTTATAAAAGGTCTACGAAGCCATAAAGGTGCCGAGGAAGATTATATTCAAAACAGTCTTCGAGAATGCAAAGCGGAAATCAAATCACAAGACATGGGTACGTTATTTATAAGACTCTCAAATGTTTGACAGTATACTAAATATACACAGACAGAAAGGCCACTGCACTATTGAAAATCATATACCTAGAGATGTTTGGCTACGACATGTCTTGGGCCTCCTTTCACGTGCTAGAGGTCATGTCATCTGCGAAATACCTGCAGAAAAGAGTTGGCTATCTTGGAGCAATGCAGAGTTTCAGGTCAGACACCGAGGTATTGATGCTTGCAACTAATCTCTTAAAAAAGGTATCTGTTCATCAACTTTTTGTATAAATTGTATGTTTCTATGTTGTTTACTGACAACTCAACAGGACATGGGCTCCTCAAATATTCCAAACCTGTCTCTTCCAATGGTCACTCTTCCGCATGTCATAACCCCCTCACTCTCCATGTCCTTACTTCCAGATATTCTGTCCAGACTCTCCCATTCGCACGTTATGGTTCGCAAGAAGGCAATTGTTTGTCTGTATAGACTCGCTCTGGTTTATCCCGAGGCTCTAAAGCTGGCTTGGCCTAAGATAAAAGAGCGACTTATGGATGATCAAGAGGATGGCAGTGTCACTACAGCAGTGATAAATGTCGTCTGCGAACTGGGATGGAGAAGGCCGCATGACTTCCTTCCACTTGCACCAAGATTATTTGATTTGTTAGTGGAGGGTGGTAATAACTGGATGGCAATAAAAATAATAAAGCTCGTGCGTTTCCCTCCCCAATATCAGATACTTAGTTTCTGATCCTCACAGTTTGCAACTTTGACTCCATTGGAACCACGCCTAGTTCGGAAGCTCCTCCGTCCATTGACGAATTTGATTCAGACAACTACAGCCATGTCGTTGCTCTATGAGTGTATAAATGGCATAATTCAAGGGGGCATTCTTGACGGCGATGAGGGTTTTCGGGAAAAGGATGAGGTAGCAAGCCTCTGCGTTGGAAAGCTACGGGGCATGATAGTTACGGATGCTGACCCAAACCGCAAGTATTCGCATATCATATCATCTTCGGTCGAGACTGACCCTGGTTTACAGTCAAGTACGTCGCTCTTCTTGCATTCAACCGGATTGTAACATCGCACCCTGTATTGGTGTCGATGCAGCAGGATGTTATATTGGAATGTTTGGAGGATGCAGATGTCTCGATTCGGCTCCAGGCACTCGAACTTGCAACTGGGATGGTAAACAGTGAGACACTCCAACCTATCGTCAGCCGCTTGGTTAAGCAGCTTAACGATGCCTTCATACCACTATCCGAGCAACCCCTGGGAGAAGACCAATTGGCTATGCGGAACAAAAACGGATTACCCGAACAACAAACCGTTGGAAGCCATTCACACTATCTACCCCCTGGATATAAGATAGAAGTCCTGCATCGAATCGTGGACATATGTTGTTACAATAATTATTCAGGGTTGCCGGATTTCGAGTGGTATATTGATATTTTAGTGCAGCTGATAAAGCACGTTCCCTCTGAAGACATAAGCGGGTACTACCGGTATACCACAAACCCGGTCAGTGAGATTGCATGTCGTCTTGGTTCTGAACTGCGTAACATTGCAGTTCGTGTACGCAATGTTCGAATGGAAGCAACTAGGGCGGCTGAATCTTTGGTTCTTGTTCACAATGATAAGTCAACATCCTTTCGAGGGACTACGGCTAGTGACAGCATCTTGAGCTCCCTGGCTTGGGTTGTCGGTGAATACGCAGAACACCTCTTGTGCCCCGGGCAAACTCTGCAATCTTTAATCGATACCACCAATGCTTTGTTACCAGTGAGAACACTGTCTGTCTACTTGCAAGCTATTCCGAAAGTCCTTGTTCACCTCAATTCTAACGGTGATTCATGGGACGACTCCCAAAAAAGCGAGACTTCGCTGTTGTTAGCGCGGATAATAGACTTTCTTGAGACGCTAGCTTCCCATCCGGATTTGGATGTACAGGAGAGGGCTATTGAATTTCTCGAGGTTCTGCGCTTGGCAGCGGAAGCCGTCAATTCAGAGGTTCATCCATCGCGCGAACCGCCCTATATATTATCGGCCGTGATTCCAAGTTTGTTCTCTGGTCTAGAGCTCAACCCGGTCGCTGTCGGTGCGCAGAAAAAGGTTCCACTGCCTGAGAAGCTTGTCTTAGATCAGCCCTTCAACGAACGTCTTTGGGGTCTTTTTGATGATTCCAGTGATGTTTCTCTTGATTTAGAGGCCCAGGATCTCTCGCGAGATTTTTACTACACCATAGATACATCGGCCCTGGATCGACGTTTCACCGCGCTTGCGCATGGTGACATGCTGTCGAACATATCTCATTCAAAGGTCACTGGAAGGTCTATTGGTGTCGCTGGCAAACCAAAACGAAGAACTGAGCGCCGGGATCGCAACAGGGATGATCCTTTTTACATCGACACCGAAGAAAATTCGTCTGGCACATCTACGCCTTTTCATAGGGTTTTCAATGCTTCCAATGGCGATGGAATGGATGTCGATTCGATTCCTATAATTGACCTAAAAATAAACAACGAGGCGATACATGGTCTGGCATTGTCAAGGGATTACGAAGAATATAAACGCTCCAATCCACGTCCTAGGAAATACGACGTCATTGCTGATGAAAATTTTGGGCACGATGAATCTATGAGCATCCAAGAATCTGACGAACCAGGGAAGATAGGGCGATCCCTACTTCAGGTAGACACCAGCGGCCTCGGGCATTTTTCCTTGGAGGAACATACTCCGGGTTCGAATTTCACGCAGCACCGCACCCAGCAAGATGAGGACGAAGTAGAAATGGCCAAAGCAATGCAGAAAGTGGAGAAAGTACGGTTAGAGATGCAGAGAGCATCGGAGCGAATTCATCCCAAGGACGTACCTGCCGAGGGAACTCTCGTCAAGAAGAAGACAGACCGAAAAACTCGACATGGAGCTGGTCCTTCCGTCCGGAAGAAAAAAAAGCAATCAGATGATTGATAATGGTATGGCATTGGACAGTCAGTAAATATAAAGACTTCTCTATTAGGGACGATATTAAATAGCACGCTGGCGGTTGCTTTCCCAGGGAGTATTAAACGCAGATGCAGTTAAAATGGCAGTATGAAAACCACTCAGCAGGGTGCATGTTGGATATCGATAAACAATTCCAACAGGTCATATGGCGATATGCCATTCCCGCATAACCGACAAAACACTAGTCCATGAACCGACCAAACGTTGCCGACCATAACTTTGGAATGACACCTAGAAGTTCGAATGCAAGCCCACCACATATAACGAAAACGAGAACAGCTGTTGGATTCTTAGCCAGGCACTATTGCATTGTCTGCTGTTATTGCCATCATCACGTACCTAGCCAGCCAATGGGCAAAGAAGACTTTGCACTTTGTTTTTGCTTGACTGGTACCTGGCCCTTCCCTCGTTTTGCAGCCTCGTTCTTTGCGTACTTCTCATTTGCTTTTCGCTGCTTCGGTGTTTGAGACTGCGAAGCAGGTCAGCTACCAGGTACATGATGCACGGAGAAGACTTACCATGTTTATTGTTATTAAATGTGATCGACCTCTCACTGTGGTGTATAGGGTACAGATGATCCTATGGGCTTATTGGTGCTGGGATGGGTGCGAATGTGAAGGTGGGAGATATATAACTGCAAGTGGACAGGCGAATGAAAAGGCCATGCTGTCACAGATATTACCCCTGGCAATACACTATATCTATAACACACCCAGTACAAATACGCATGGCAAGACAAAACTTACCCATTTAATGGTAAATACCCCTGTATAGTCTTATTTTTTTTTTGTTTTGCAGTCTATGCCACTGCCTACATATATTTATTAGCCTAACTACTCCGTACACCCCCCAGTATCTCCTATAAATATTGAAATTGAAGTATACGCAATTCTCTAACTCTGTTCTTCCCATTCCCGGCCTTGAATACCCTAGGAGAAGAGGCTAGATACCCTAGAATAGTCATCAAATGTTCAATCTGAGGGTTATAAAAGTAAGCGGGTCATCTGCACGTGAATGGATGGTGGGCACTGGGCAGTGGCTGCTGCTGTAATTGTAAGTAAAGACATTACTCAACTTCCAATTATCAGGTGAACCTGGATGGAATTCATGATAAAATATATTACATCGCAGAGAGGAATGAATCCATGCTACTCCGTACAGAGTACTCTGTGGAGGATCTGCAAAGCATGTGTTGACATGAAGATTTGATGACTAACTAGTTGAATTGGCCGCAGGCGAAGATTTGCTAGAAGAGAGGGAAATGAATAAACTTGTGAAAGCCATATGGGATATGTCCTTTTCTCTTTTATCTTTATCCCATGAGTATGACACTTTTGTATGTGGTTAGATGATGGACGCCCTCTTCATTTCAAATAAGACATCGTC